GATCTGAAGCAGCTGCATGAAAGCTGGAGAGGGACTCTTCATCAGGAACTGTAGTGACAGGAGAATGGGAAACATCTTCATTCTCAAGGAGGGGGAATTTAAGTGAGATACAGCAGAAGTTCTCTGCTGTGAGGGTGGGCAGGCCCTGGCCCAGGGTGCCCAGAGCAGCTGTGGCTGCCCCTGGATCCCTGGAAATGTCCAAGGCCAGGCTGGACAGGGCTTGGAGCAACCTGGGATAGTGGAAGTTGTCCCTGCCCATGGAAAGGGGTTGCAATGAGATGAACTTCAAGGTCCCTTCCAACCCAAACCACTCTATTTCTAATAATTCTAATTCTAAAATTCTAATTCTAAAATTCTAATTCTAAAATTCTAATTCTAAAATTCTAATTCTAATTCATTCTTATTCTAAATCTAATTCTATTTCCAATTCTAATTCTATGATTTTTTTTTTTGCTGGTGACCAAGCTTCACCAAGTTCAGTGCACTGTTTCTCAAAGGAACACGGAGCTCTCAAATCTTCTGTCGAGTTCCTGGTACCCCTCTGCAGCACCTCCAACCTTAAATCATGCCTGGGGATGAGGTTTGACTCTTTGCTCTCATGTCAAATATCTCCCACTTGGTTGTGGAGCAGTTTTGGGTGACTTTTGTGAGCTGGGTTGTCTTGAGCAAAGGCAATTGCCATGGCTAAATGTGACCACAGATTGTGCTGCCTTCCCATGGGGGAATAATTCTACAAAACCAAAAGGAAACTTAAAGAGTTTCCCTAATAATGAAAAGTCCAGGTCATGAGGCAGCAATAAGTTAATAAGACTGTTTTATTTCATTCCTAAAATGATCTGGAGGGGCTAATAGTATCTGTAAGCTGAGAGTAACTGAGATGTTCACTCCTATCTTAGTTTTTCCTATTTAGGTTCAAAAAAAAAAAAAAAAAGGAAAAAAAGATTCTTGCTCAAACCTGGCAAAGCAGGCAACACAGCTTAACAAATAGGCTTATCTCAAGTGCTCTTTAATAAGAATGTTTATCATTTATTTCTTGAAAATATGCTGAGCCTGGAATGCTGAAACTTTCTGTGGTGTTTGACCTGTGTTGCTCAAAGCCAGGCATGGGGGGTGGTTTTGGGAGGGGGATGTTCTGTCCCAGCGTGCTGCCCACCTCCCTGCCCAGGAAAAAGCTGTTTTACATTTATACAATAAATTATAAATGAACACATTTATAGATGTGTTCATTTAGAGCCTCTGTAAGAAAGCAGATTTCTCCAGAAGGTGATTTATTCCAGCTCAGGTCTGTGGTTTAAATAATTGGGATAAATCTCTGGATGTGCTTAAATCCCTCTGTCAGTTATAAAGAAGTCATCAAGGTTGGTTTTAGAGCAGGTTCAAGGCTCCCAACCTAAAGTAATAACAGAGGAAGGAGGGAAGGAGTGATTTGAATTGGCAAAACCAACACGAAATTTCTTCTTCTTCCAGAGACATTGTGAAAACTCATTCCTTTGCCATGCTGGCTTTTTATTGCTCTGGGAGAAGAAACTGGGTCCCTGTCCTGGTGATGCTCAGCTTAGAAATGGACTCATGGCAGTGAAAATGGATTTGTTTTATTTATATTTGTGTTGTCACCTCCCAAAGGAACTGTTCATGAATTAAATGGTGACAGCACAGGTGACATTTCTTCTTCCAAAGCACACAATTCCTGTCCCACAAGAGGAAGTCATATTTATTTCTTATTTCTCATAACCTTATTTCTCATTTCTTTTAACCCAGCTGAATTTCAGCCTGTAATATGAAATTCCATCCAGTCAACACTAGGGAACAGTGGGAAAGAGCACCCAAACGCAGAATTAATTAAAATTAATGCACTTTTTTTCTTTTTTTAGATTTTAATTATAAAGTTAACACATCTATCAAACTTAACTGGTAACAAAAAACAGTTACAAGACATTGCTAATGTGCTGTCAGTAGAAAATGGGGTAAAAGCCAATGAGGTCACAAGCACAACAGCAGAGCAACAACACTGTCCCGATGAGTTATTTCAGCAAATATATACTCTTACTAATATATACATTTATTCATAAAATAAATAATCATAAAAAAATCATCAGACTTAACAAAATACTGAGAGGGAGGAAAAAAAAAAAAAAAAGAAAAAAAGGTGACAACTCTACTTTGTACAATAGCTTTGGAATTCCAGGTTGTATCATACATGCAATCTGTACACAGGGGTGAGGGCAGGGGTCACAGACAGTGATGGAGCTTTGAAGGAGGCGATGTAATCAGGCAGACAGTCTGTGGGAAGGGAAAGCAACAGCAAAAAAACCCACTCACAAGAAGAGACTTGTCCCTGAGTGCTGGACAAGCATGTTTTGTACCGTGGGGGAATCCCCTGGGGTGCTACAGGTTTTGTGTTTTGTGCCTTCCACACTGCTGGTGGGCTTGTCAGAGAGTCCAAAGCTACAGCAGGGCTTGTTTGGGCAGGCTGGGTCCTGGCAGGGACAGAAAGTGATGCCACAAGGGATTGATGGAGTGGGATCCCACTGGGATGAGGAGGTGGAGGCTGAGCTGCCATCAGCTGGGGACAGGGACAACCAGGACTACAGCAGAGATCAGGAGGGTTTTATCTGATTTTGGAATTTTTGGGAGGCTGACCTCAAACCTCTTGCGCTTTCCAAGGGGCAGCAGCAGGTGGAAATATTGGCAAGGAGCTCTGACACCATGGTGCCATCCCTCAGAACCATGGGTGACACTCAGCTGCTTGCTCAGCCCGTGTCTGCAGCAGATCTGCCTTCAGGATTTTTGGTGGAGAGGAATGAATGGAGAGAAATAAATAAATACTAATAAATAATAAGAAGAAACTCGGAAAAGGAAGAGAAATGGGGAAAGCTTCTCCTCACGCTTTCCCCACTCCCATGCCGGGCTGTCCAAGACCTTCCTTGGTGTAAGTAAAGGTCCACAGAGACAGAGGAGGAGATCATGTGGAACAGACCCTTGTGGCTTCAGGAATTTCCTCCATCTGGGTGGTGTCCACCTAAGGGCAGGATTTTGCCCATGGATGACTTGGTGGAACCTGTCCATTCCCTTTTATGTGCTCCTCAGCAGGAAGAGCACAGATGCTCCCTTGGGGTCACAGCCATGACAAACCAGGCAGTAAAGTGGATTAAATAATTATTTTTACAGAACAGGTTCACCTTCTGCTCCCCTTGAGACACTTGTGCCTGATTTTTGTTGGTTTAAGTGAGAATTGAGACCATGACCAGTTTTCCACCTCAGAGAATCTAAAGAGAGTTTGGAATCTGGAGTGGGATCCTGCTCATGGATGAAGACATAAACAAGCCTGTGTCTGCATGGGATTGAGACATCTAGACACCCGTCTCTGATGGAGAACCATGTGTATGGCTCTGCCAGATATGCCCTGAGATCCAAGGGAAGCCCACATTGCTCCAGAGTAGCTTTTAGGAACCACTGGGGTACCCTGGAGCATCCCAGATGGCTCTAGACACCTATTTCAATAATTTAGTTCAGCCCTAAACGCTGAGTTTAGGCAAATGGAGCCCATAATTTGGTTTCTATGGGGATTTAGGCACCTAACACATATGTAGATACCTGCCTTTAAGCATCTCACTTTGTATTCCAAATCCCACTGTAGGTGCCACTGCCTGGGAATCAACTCCTGGCCTCTTGCTCATGCTTGAGAAAAATCTCCTCCCCTCCTCCAAAGTGGAAATGCACCAAAGACCCCTCTGGAAAATGTAGAAAAGTGGGAAATGCAGTCAACTTAACCAAGCCAGGAAAATACTGAGAGGGGCAGGAATGAGGACTAAACACCCCTTCTGGAAATGGAGGCCAGAGGAGCCCCCATTTCCCACCGAACTGAGGAATCTGCACCCCACAGCTGTTTATGGAGACCTGAGCTGGGGGTGAGGAGCTGCAGAGCAGGAACTTTGCTGGAGAACACAAGGAAGGGCAGGAAACAGGAGGATGGAAGGGTTAAAATGTGAATAAAACAATTCAGCCAGATGTCACTGCTGCTTCCAGTGAGAGAGGGGAAATCTGGAAAAAAGAGAGACTCCCATAATGAAAAGTCACAATTAAAGCAGCCAAATTTAGCTTGGAGGGAGGTAGAAAGTAGGAAATTATAGGTATGAAGAAGAGATGAGGTCTTGTCCTGCCCAGCCCACCTTCTCTCCCTTCATCCAACACTCCCTGACATCTCACCCCAGCAGCTGCTGGAGCTCAGGAATGACAGATCTGAGCAGGGCACTTGGGCTTGGTGCCTTTCATGGCCCAGTTTTCATCCTCCCAAATGGATTTTGTTAAAGCATCAAGGGAAGTCTGGAGTAATTTCCATAGTGCAGACCCTGGGACTGGATTCACAGCTCCCAGCTCCTGCAGAGTGCTCATTCTCCATCCCTGAATATCCCCAACAACATCAAACACCAGATTTTCAGCACTGAAACCAATCTTTGAAGCTAAAAAAATAAAAAAAAAAGTGACCCAAAGCTCAGAGTTTTTTCTCCTGCATATTAATTTAAGGATGGGGGCATGATAAGAATATGAAGACACATGACAAATGTAACATAATCCAGGGACATTTCTGTGGCAAATGAATGCAATGAAAACACCAAAAAATATTTGAGATTGAGAGGCAGAAGAAATTGTTTTCTGGGGTTTGTTAATACAGAAAATCTGCAGTGCTCAGCTTAGACGACAGCACTGCAGGGCTGACGTGGTCAGTGCTGACTCAGGGATGTCTGTGCCATATTGCATTTTGTGGTGTGGCTGTCTCTGCAATCCCCTCCAAAAATTAAACCCCAACTGCTCTAGTTCTGCACGTGAAGCTTCTCATGAGGAGTGCAAGCAATTTGGGAGATTTCAAAATGCTTTGGAGAAGACTGTCAATGCTGGGTACGACACTCAGTGAGAGAGATAACTGGGATCAAGCATCAAAAATGTTCTTCCCTCCCCATATATTAATTTTCTCTGAGAAAGAGAAGCCCCCAAATTCTAAAACTAAACCAAACCAAGGACAACAACAAAAAAAAAAAAAAATGTAACACCCAACAAGACAACCAAACTCCTAAACTTTCCATTTCTTTCATAGAAAGAAAAGAGATGAGGCCTAATTCACCCCTCGCAGGTAACGCCACTGTCTTTAATACCTTGGATGTGGAACTGATGGGGCCCATCTGACCCATCTGTCCAGCTGAAGGAGAGGCTGGATAGCAGCATGGGAGAGGATGGAGTTATGGTCCTTTCTCACTTTTATTTTTTACATCTGTTCCTTTGTTGGGTGACACCTTGTCCCTTTCCCCCATCCTGCCAGAGACACCTCTGGTACAAACCATCTGCCTGAGGACAAAGCTCACCAGGGAAGGACACCAGGGAGCACAGAGGTGAAGATGGCCAGCTCCCATTTGTGGGAAATGAATGATGTTTTCCTTTTGACTATAAACTGGAGCATTACACCAAGGTGGGGGAGAAGGTCTGACAGAAAACCATGTCAAGAGAAGTGCCCAATTCAATTGCCTACACGATTACATCTTGGGTCATTTTGGACACCCAGAGGTCTCTGACTGCCCAGGTTTATGATCTGTGTGGGTCTTAGGCCATTGAAACAACATCTGAACCCCAACAGGACACTGTAGGGCACCTGTAAAATGTCACCAGATGTTTCTTTTATTGAGTGAAATGCAAAGACCCTTCCATAAGTAATGTCCTGCTGTTTTCACAGGAGAAGCTGAGGCAGAAGGCAGCTCTGGGTGGCATTCAGACCATCTCCTGTAGGGAAGGATGGCACCTCACTCATCACTGGCCAAATTTTCTCACTGGTTCAGTGGAAACCCTGACTCGAGACACCCAGTGTAGGCAGTGGAGAGGGATCTCAGTTTTCCAAAGACACCTCCCAAATTCATGTGCAGCAGTGAGCAATGGCCCAAGCCCCCTCTCCAAAACACAGGCCCAGCTCCCAGACCCCTGGCAGGATTTTTTCCCCCTCAGGGATGGGCAGAGCCAGCCCCAGGACTGGAACCCCCTGGTTGTGTTTGGGGTGATGAACAGAATTCACTCAGGCATTTTTCATCGACTTTAGTAGCAGCTGCTCAGCCCCTTACATTGGATCAGCACAGGGATGATTAATTACATAACAAACCCAAACAAGCACCCACAGGCTTTGTTAAAATCCCCTTGGATGGGGAGGAGTCCCCAACCACTGAGCTGGTTCCAGCCTGACCCCAGCTTGGAGGGAAGGAGCACAGCCTCCAGCCCATCTCAGATGATGATCAGGTTGTAGCTTCACCTCCTTGACTCATGGTGGATTTCACATCATCAGTCTGGACCCACGGAAGAGCTCACAGTCTGCTCTGAGCTCAGCAGCTAAGTCAGAGATACACCCAGAGGGCACTTAACCAAACATAACTTAGGTACCATCCTAAATACCATGAATCACCTTCTGGGTTTGTTTCTTGCCATTGATCCCAGCAGAAAATTAGATAAATAGCTTAGACCGGATGAAATAAATCCCACTGTAGCAGTCAAAATTTGTTCACCTCTAGAGGCAATTGCTCAGCAAATGCCCAGTTTCAATTTTTTCCCCCCCTGCTTCCCAAAACGCTTCACCTGCTGGTGATGCTGGGCTTGTTCTGGTGCAAAAGCAGAAATGGTGGATGGGAACATACTGTGAATGGGCTGGGGCCAGATTCCAGCTCCCACTCATGGAAACCAAATCCTCCAACCCATTCCTTCACTGGTGTGGTATAAAAGAAGGAGTTTGAAATCACTTGGCTTAAAAATCTTAGGGTAGAACCAGTTGTGGGTGTGACCCTGCTGCAGTCAATGGATTGAAGGGACTGTGGTGGCCTGCAGTGATTTGAATTTCCACTGTTGTGTCACCATTTATTGGCAGAAGTTCCTGGTAGGACATGTCTGACATCTCTCATTGTGGCTGCTTGCGCTGCATCACATTAAGTAAATCAGATGTATCTTCCCTTATCCCATCCTCTCCAATTTATCAATGTCTTCCACCCCTTGTGTGGTTTTCTGGAGCATTTGCTTTCCTGACAGATTGTGTTTGAATGTTGGTTACAGGTGCAATCTCCCCCTGCAGTGGCTTCCTTCTCTATTTCCCATGATTAAGTTTTCCTTTTCTCCAAGACTGCATTATGAAAATCAGTTATACATCCCTTAATTGATCTTCATTTAAGTTTTCAGTGACCTATTGCCTTCTCCACATGGTGTGTGGCCATTGATGATGTGCAGTGTTCACATGGACAGGTGTCACAGATTGATTTTTCTCCCCATATTTTTCTTTGCGTCTCTCGATCTCCTCTCTCCTTCTGCTCTCATTTCACTGCAGCATTTTTTTATTTTTTTTTGCAAAGCACTGATAGAAGTGCCTCCATCAATAAGCAAATCTTGCTTGTGCCCTTGGGCACAGCCCTGAGACAAATGGGTGATGCATAAACTGCACCAACCTAGGAGTAGTCCCAGGAGACGCTGTGAGTCAGAGCCAGCCCTTGGAGGCATCATTTCCTCCTGTTTTCTCTCTGATGGGATTAAGCTCTGTTTGTTCCCTTCTTCTTCTGCATACTCCCTCCTTTGGTTCCTGGGAAAAGGCTGACACAGAGAGGAGCACTCTGATTTCTCTACAAAGATTTCCAGGAGTGATCCAGCCAAGGGCCATGATTACATTGCCATGAAATGGGAATTAACTCATGCCCTGTTTCCCTTTCTGTACTGAAGAAACAGAATAAACACCCATCCATTGTCCTTTTTCCAGGATAGGAACCAAAAAGCAGAGGTGAGGCAGAGAGAACACAGGGCAAGGGCATCTGGGGCTAAAACAGGCTGTGACTGTGCTTGGTTCACCTCTCATTTACCCCAGTATTGACCAGGAATAGCCCAAGCAGGGTTCCAGTGCTGTAAATACCAAGGTGGTGGGCTGAGCTCATGCCTGATCCCCTTCAGGAATTCCTGATGCCCATGGAGGAGGTGAGACCTGTTTCTGTAAGCTGTGATCCTGACCTGGAGTTGGAAGCAGAGCACCATGCAAGGATGGGCACTCAGGGGTGAGCAGAGCAGCAGAGATTGGCCAGCACTGCAAAGCTGGGGTTTGGCTCTGGGTCCAAACCTACCCAAACTCTGGGCTGGTTCACACTCTGGGTTTTGTCCATTTTAATCTGTGCCACTTTTACAGGAATTAGCTGTGGAACAAGGTTTGGCTTGAGTCTGAGACTGCTCCAGCTTGTGGGGTGTGGTGGTGGTGGGCTGCTTCACCCTCGTGTCCATTAATGGGTGACAATGAGTCCTTCAGATCCATGTTCCCGACAGACCTGTGGGCTCAGGCTGCTGCCAAGTGCCTGGGGAGCCTGCATCAGGTGCAGAGAGTGGAAGAACTAAGTGCACTTTCCAACTGCTGGTGACAGACCTGCTCAGTGAGGTGGGAAGGGTGAACACTTTCCCTTGCCATCCTTTCCCTGGGGTGCTGAGGAGAGGGATGTCCCGTGCTCAGGAGTGAGTGAACAGCCCCAGAGATTCACTGCACCACGTTTCCAAGGAAAACTCACTGGCTGAGCCACGTGCCAGGCTGGAGAGCTGGAGCAGCATTCCCAGCTGTGGGACTGCGTCCTTCTCAATGCACACAGAGTCCTCTTCACTTCACACACAAGACTCTGAGCTTTTCCATGCTGTGCACATCACCTGTGTGCCAACAGGGAGTTTACAAGAAGTCATCAGAAGTTTTCTCTCTTTCTCTCCCTCCTCTTCTCCCTCCTTCCATTTCTACAGATGTCACAGGATCCTATGTCCAATCTGGCAGAAGCTACTACGCTAAAAAGTTCGCATCAAGAGCTTGCCTACTCTCCAGCTCTGTTAAATATTTGTAGACTTCTCTGGTTCCAAGGCAAAAGCAAAGTAGTCATATTTTTTATTTTAAAAATCCTTAATTTATCTGCTTTTATTTCTTTTGCTGCTGTTGCTCATATCACACAGTCTGGCCATTCGTGTTTGCAGAGAGATCTCTCAGAAACTCAGTGCTGTTCAGCACAGCCTCTGCCTGGCTGAGGGAAAAGGAGATGCTTAGGAAGATGCAAGTCTTTCAAAGGACACTTAATCACATGAGTCACTTCAGGTGGGTGGGAGCAGAGCAATTCCATGCTTTTGCTAATGCTCTTCTTTCCAGCTCAGTGTTGTGGGCTGGTGGAAAGAGCTGCTCTCCTTCCAGAGGCATCGGCATCGGGGCAGAACTTGTGTGACTGCCAGATGTACCTTGGGATAGCCCAGGAGTCATTAGACCTATTCTATCCAACCAGTTATAGCCTTTTTATTTTTTAAATTTTTTTGTCCAGTTTTAATTCTTTTTTAATATCAAAAAAAGTAGACTTCTCTCACGTCTGCAACCTCAGAGGAAGTAGGCTCAAAAAATCCATTTCTCCACTCGGAGCCCGGCCAAGGGGGGTATTTACGCCTGATTTATTTGCACGTGTGGACGTCGTAGACTCGTATGCACTCCTGGCAGCGGACGTAGCAGCACCAGTGGAAGATACAGTGACACTTCTCTTTCCTTTTCTCAGTCCTCGTGTTGTGCCCACGGCCGCAGCACAGGAGGTCACAGCCGTCGATGCCGTGGGAGGTGACGTTGCAGATCCTGTCGCGGGTCCCGAAGGAGCCTGTCTCGGGGTTGGGCTCGCAAAAGTTTGGCGAGTTCTCGTAGTAGACCAGGTCCTTCTCAGTGGGGGCCTTGAAGAAGTTGTATTTGGGCCGCAGGGTCTCCACCCAGCCGCGGGATTCCCGGTGTTTTTCCACCACCATCTCGGACGCGCTGTCATACTTGTCCTTGAGGTAGTCGCCGATGACCCTGAAGTCGGGCTGGGACCACCAGCAGGTCTTCACCTCACAGCTGCCCGAGAGCCCGTGGCACTTGCACTTGAGGTGCATCAGCTCAATGATGGACTGCAAAAGAGAAGAAAGGCAAAGGAGAAGGAAGACGTTAACTGTGGCGGTGTTCACAGGGGTATCAGGATGAGGGAAGAAACGTAGATCTGACTCCGTGTTTCAGAAGGCTGATTTATAGTTTTATGATATATATTACATTAAAACTATACTAAAAGAATAGAAGAAAAGGTTTCATCAGAAGGCTGGCTAAGAATAGAAAAGAAAGAATGATAACAAAGACAGCTGTCTTGGACTCTCTGTCCAAGCCAGCTGGGCTGTGATTGGCCATTAATTACAAACATCCAAGATGGGCCAATCAAAAATCTGCTTGTTGCATTCCACAGCAGCAGATAACCATTGTTTACATTTTGTTTCTGAAGCCTCTCAGCTTCTCAGGAGGCCAAATCCTCAGGAAAGGATTTTCCATAAAAGATGTCTGTGACAGTTAACCTGTAATTAAATTTATGACATCCTGCCACTTGGCCATGATTTTCCAAGGAATTATGGATGTTTTCATAGATATATTGTTGTGAACAAAAATCCTCTTATCCCCCAGTCACTTCTGGGTCTAAGCCATAAAAATTCCGTACTTTACAGTTTTCAGTGACTGGTTCTGACTCCCAGCTCAAATTTAAGCATTTACCAGAAAGCTTTCACCAAGGAGATTTATTAACTTCTGGCTTATCAATGTTCATGTAGGAATATTACAGTGCTGTCACACAGGAAAAGAATTCAAACACATCTGGACAGAGAAGCAAAGAACACACAAAGCTACTCAAACAATTCCTTCATAAATGAAAATAGCAGCTTTTCTGTTGGAAATAAAAGGAAGATGAAGTGTCCTAACTATCTAGAACAGAACTCCATCCTTTACATATGTTAAGCAAACAAGGTTCAAGCCTTGTTATGACTACTTTCAGAAATTGAAAAGGGGTTTGTTTTTATTTTATAGCCAGGGTCGTGATTTTTCTAAAATTACTTCAAAGGAAAAAAAAAAGAGCCCTACTTTTGATTTTAGTGGCTCAGGCTTCAACACAAAACACTTTCCTGGGATAAATGGGAGGGTGATTATTGATCCCAGAAACTTTGCTGCTTGTTTTTACCTCTTATATAACGAGTTTAAATAAACAGAGGTGTTGCCCTCCAGTACTCTGGGGTGGGAGACAACCTTATGCAACTTGATAATCTGCATTTCCAGAGCGATCAGCAAATTTCTGGGTACGTGAACAGGCGAGTGCCAGCCTGAGTCCATGAGATTTGCCATGAATCAGCACCTTGGTGCTCACCAGGTGTTTCCCTGTGTTATTTACGGAGTATCACCCTCCACAGAGCTGGCTGCAATTAGCGAGGAGGGAGAACCGCAGAAGGTTTTGCTCATAAAATCACCCCGAGCTTAATCAAAACTCCTGGAGGAGCAGTGGGGTTGGAGTTCCTATGGGAACTGATAGGAAACATTGCCCATGGCTCAGGTGTAGCTGGGAACACTCGGATGTGGAGGTCTGGAAGAGCTGTCCCGTGGGTGCTGGCATGGTGACGATGGAAAACACCAGTGCTTTCTAAAATACTGGGATTTCAAGTCATGGTGTGATGTCTGTGGGATTTCAGGTTGTGGTCTGATACCTGTAAAATGTCCTAGAGTCAAGGAACAAAACTTAGAGTAAAAAGACCTCTGCAGGCCTGTGGTCACAGGGATGTTTGTGTCACAGACACATTTTATGAAAAATCCTTTTGCCAAGATTTTTCCTCCTGAGAAGCTGAGAGGCCTCAGAAACGAAATGTAAAATAAAAATTATCTGCTGCTGTGGAATGCAACAGGTGCATCTGTGATTGGTCTTGTGTGAATTGTTTCTACTTGATGTCCAATCACAGGTCTAACTGTGTCAGGACTCTGGTCACTCACAAGATTTTATTATTCATTCCTTTCTAGCCTTCTGATGTCTCCTTTCTCTTTCTTTAGTGTAGTTTTAATATATAATTTTCTTTTAATATAATATGTATCATAAAATAATAAATCAGCCTTCTGAAACATGGAGTCGAGATTCTCATCTCTTCCCTCATCCTGAGGACCCACAAACACCACCACATGATGTTTGTTTTTTTCCAAGGATTCTCACTTTAAAACAAATTCTCACTTTAAAGGAAATCCCTCCTTTCTAGATCTTCTCCCCAACCCTCTTTTTCCCACTACATATCCCAGTAACTGCCCCATCCCTGGTGGTTCCTGGGATAATTTAGGCCAGAGCTGGAAGAAACCACATCATTGCTTGTGGTCGTCTCCATTGCAGACAATTTTGGTTTCTGGTGGTATTTCCCTTTCAGAAGTTGTATTCCAACAGCTCTGCTGTGGTGTGGGGTGGGATAACACCACTGGGAATTCACAGCATCCACTTCAGGAGCCCTCAGGAAACCTCAGCCTGCCTGAGGACCTGTGGCTTTGGTACAGCTCACTGCTCAAATGTCCTCCTGGATATGTGCAAGACCTTCTGCTGTGGGGACAAGACCACATTAACCTGTTCCCCCTTATCTCAGAGAAGCTGTGGCATAATCTCTGTTAGAAAAGACTTTGTGGTTCAGTTCTACAAATTGTTTCCCACAAATTGCATTCTTCTGGATTTATGGGCTATTCTTGAGATGAGAAAAAAAAAATAAAAGGAATATCCCCCTTTTGGGATTATTCCACCTAGGGAAAAGATTCACTGTGTATTAAGGCAGATTTTGTGCCTCCTTTCCCCTACATGTTTAGTTCCAAGATTGTTTGAAGTAAAAACAGCTTCAGGGCATGATCCAAGTTTAATCAGGAGTCACCAGAGTTCTATTGCCTCTAATTTTGTTCAAATATTTCCTGGGAAATACAACAGGGTTGAGAAGATGGGTTGTGGGAAAAGCTCTCCTGGCTCTTCTCCTCCCTCAAGGCTGCAGAGAAGGGGAATGGACAATTGCACTCAAACTTCAGGTGCCCCACAGTCAGTGGAAAGAAACAGCCACAATTAGGACATTATTAATAACTCTAATAGTGGAATAAGGGTTAATAACTCTAATAGTGGAATCACAGAATGATTTATGTTGGAAGGGACCTTAAAAATCGCTCAGTTCCAACCACCCTGGAATGAGCAGGGACACCTTCTGCTGGCCCTGTCCAACCTGGCCTTGGGTACTTCCAGGAATGGGCATCCACAGCTTCTGGGATATCCTTCTAGATATCCTCATCCCATCTTCTGGGGGCAGATATCCTCATAGCATGGGAAGAAATCCCATCTTCTGGGGGTAGAAATCCTCTTATGTTGGGATGAAATCCCATCCTACACCTGCCTTGATCCATCCTCTTTAAAAGAGATCTGGACAGCTGACTCCAAGGCAGGTGTTTACATGTGTGTGAGTGAATTCATGTGGAGCCTTCACAGACCAGTCACGTCAATCTAGAGCTATCACAGGACATGTATTACCATTTTGTGACACAAATTTGCCCAAATTTAGGTCTTTTGAGCCCCCTTAATCCCCTCCCACCACTCATCCTCTCAGGTGAGAAAACACCAACAGGAAAGGAGGAGATGAAATCCCCTTACCGTCCTTCCAGCCTCATTGTTGTGCCGGTTCATGGCCGAGCGCGCGTCGGGCCGGTTCTCCCGCGCGTCCGCGAACTCCCGGGACACCATGCTGCCGAACTCCACGTCCTCACTGCAGCCTCCCCACTTCCAGCCCTCGCCAGGAGAGCCCTTGTGGCGCGTGTCACACCCGCAGATGGTGGCCGAGCCCTCGGCACAGGACCTGGTGACAGCGAAAGCCACCCCGGCGGAGGCGATGGCGTGGACGAAGGCCGACTCCCTGGTGGCTGTTGAGAGGGAGGAAATGTCACCAGGATATTTTATGGAAAATCCCTTCACCAGGATTTCTTCTCCTGGCAAGATGAGTAGCCTCAGCTTCCCCATGTTTTGCTCCTCTGGAATGTGATTTGGAGAGTTGTTTATTCAAACATGTTAATTGTTTTTACTTAGTAACCAATCCAAGTCCAGCCATGTCAGATTCTCTGGTCTGTCATGGGTTTTTATAATTCATTCTTTTCTAGCCTTCTGATGTCTCCTTTCTCTTTCTTTAGTGTAGTATTAGTATATATCATATCATATCAATCATATCATATAATGTTGTAATGTAGTGTAATGTAATGCAATGAATATAATATAATATAATGTAATGTAATGTATATAATATAATATAATATAATATAATATAATATAATATAATATAATATAATATAATATTATATTATATTATATTATATTATATTATATTATAATATAATATAATATCAGGCCTTCTAAGAACTTTAGAGTCAATTCTCATCTCTCACCTCATCCTGGGGACCCTCACAACACCACAACAAGGAAGGGCCAGCGAAGGATGGATTTGGTCAGTGCTGTGAACGCTTTCTCTGGAGGGCATGGCAGAAGGCCAGGGAATCCTCCTTTTCCCTGTGGTCTGGCTTGGACCTACTCCAAAGACTTTTTTTTTGCTAGGAAATGAGTTTCTGCACAGACAGGACCAGGCTTGATCCAAGGCCACTGAGGTCAGCCAAAAAGTTCTGACTGGGGTCATCCTCAGGTCTTTGGAGAGGGCCATGGCACCACAGACAGCTGTGCAAATCTGAATTTCAGGGGAATATTCTATCTGGTACTGTGCAGCCAATGCACCACATAGCCAGACCCTGAGCTGTGGGCTTTGCTTCAGAATTTGGGTATGTTCCCAAAAAAATTAAAAATGCAGGTTTACACTTAGCAACAACCTGGGACCAGCACCAGGTAAAGCTCCTCTTCCTTGACAGGGAGAGGTGCTGGTGGCTGGAAGGTAGGAAAATGCCAGGATTGTCACATCCTCAGTCCTCAGGATGTGAACCAAGCCTTGTCCCCTCCCTCCATCTCTTTTCCCCAAGGCTGAGTGTTTTACTCAGGGACAGCACTCAAAATGCACCTTACACCTGCCCCAAGTTCTCCTCCCTTGCCTGATCAAGGTCCCTGCCAAGGGGACTGGAAATGAGGGAAATGAGGGAAATGAGCTTTCCCTTGTGCCCACAGGCTCAGGCTGGAGGGTGGGATCAGCAGAACAATCCCACCAGAATCACCAGAAGATGTCTTGGCCAAGGACTGAGGAGTTTTAGTCTTTGTGGAGAACTTCCCTCACAGCCTTCCATGCCAGGGAGAGCTGGGCAGGGAAGGGGAGCAGGAAGGGCTTTCCTGGATGTATGAAAATGAAAACCAAACTTTTCAAACTGCTTTGCAAGTGGGGAGCACCCCAAGATATCAAATTTATTTCCCTTTCTCCTCACGGTTTTAGTTTCTTCACTCTCAAGAAATGACCCTGCAGTTCAACACCACACCTCAGAAAATACCAGTAGGGTAAAAATGGGATTTTTACCATGAACAGGGCTGCTCTCAAACCCTTGGGGCAATTCTAAGCAGGCACAATGATTCTGATAACAGGCCTCCCTGAACCTCCTGTATTATTCCCCACCCGCCTTGTGCTTACAGACCAGTTATCCTAGAAATTGTGTTGTCCCTGAAACTTTTTATATTATTCCACTGAGACATTGAAATATTAATGGATCCATAAAGTCACAAGGTCACATTTTCAGTCGATGCATCTTCACCAAAGCTTATAATGAATTTTATATCACCTGACTGCTCAAAAACCACTCAAACCTTCCCTGCACCATATTTTGCTGATCTGAGCTTTCCCTGGGCACTTTGGCTTAATCTTTGCCTTCCAGGTGCTTCCAGGCTTTGCTAATGTGAAGAAAGTTTAATGCACCAAGCCAAAAAGCTCAACATGTTTTTGGGGAGCAATCACGACTGTGGAGAAGTCCTGGCTGGATTTTAGGCTTAAGCAAGAGCTCAAGCTTTGCTTTGGGAAGGCTACCAAACACAACAATATGCAAATCCCAATATGTGCATGACCTTACAGGCTGAAGGGATGAGCAATGTCCTGGAACACGTTTGCCAGGCCACTTGGGGAGGTTATTAACTCACCGAGGGCTACAACCAAAAGAAAAAAAAAGGAAAATGCAGGAACCCTGAGGTCGCCAGTGTGATTTTGAAAAACCCTTGTTCAGCATCTGGCCAGTGTGGAGAATGCCAGCATCCTGCAAATGATGACCATGCAGTTCTTGATTGTGAAAGCTCAGCTTGGAGCATGGACAGGAGAGCCCCATTCACACAGGAATGGGGATTCTGCATCTTACACTTGCCTAAGTCCAGGTGGGATCCAGAAACAAAATTTTGGGGTTGCAGCGCTTCATATGAGGTCTCCATGAATATTTCTGACCAGCTTTGGGGTCTCTGAAGAATGAAAGGCTCCTCACAAAAGCCAAGGAGGTGAGGTGAGGGGTGGATGCCATGATAACCTCTAAATCTCTAAAAACCAGTTTCAGAAGATGGCCTTGAAAAAAGACCAGATATTTTAGAGAATTAGAACTGTGAAAGATGCATTGTAGCAAGACCACATGGGGTAAAATAATAGGTGATTATATGTGATTAAAATAATAGGTGATTGGTGTTAGAAGTATTAGCAGCATTGCCTGGCAAAAGCTAATAGGCTGAAAAATATTTATAAGATATATATTTGTAAGGTAATATTTATAAGGTAACGAGGAAATAGGTTGGCTTCTGATAGATTGGCGTTCAGTTTTTCATCTGTCTCACTCTTCATTGAGACTGATAATGGAATAAACTCTTTTAAAAGGCCTCTCAGTTGCCTTGTCTCTGTAGAGCTGGGATTTTCCAACACAAGACCTTGCACTTGGGCTTGTTCTTCATGAGGTTTGCTCAGAGCCACATCTCCATCCCTTCTCTCAGCCTGATGTCACCAGCAAACCTCCTGAGTGCCCTGGATCCCACTGTCCTTGTCACCAACAAGCAGTGCCAGCCCCAAGCCCCAAGGAACACCACTGCAGTGCCACCATACAGGTAATTCCTGACCGACCAGGAGGCCCATCCATCAAACCCAGGTATCTCCAATTCAGAGACTAGGATGATGTGCTTCCCTAAAGTTCCTTGGTCGGGCCAGCTCTCATCTCCTGGGAATCACCCTTTCCTCTGCCAGGAGAGATCTGATCCAGGCCTGGGAAGGAGCTGTGGGTGCTGAAATGATGCTTGCAAACCTCCTGTGCCTTGCCAA